CACTTTTGGGAGCATCCTGGCTAATCAGTACTGTAGGTCTACGTGTGTCAGACCATTCTAATCATTGTTCTCCTTCTGCTGTCCATCGTGGTAAGTGTGTGTACCTTGCTCTTGGCGATTAAGTGCTGCCATTAATCCCTGCCACTCTGGGATCCAATTAAACACGCTGCTTCTAACTTTCCCAGTTGAGTAACCGTGGTCCCCACTGTAAGGTAGGGCGTACAAAAAAGAACAGTGACAGGGCTCTTCAGGACACCGGTGAACCTTCATGAATCTCTTTTTCAAGGTGTTCCTGAAGGGTGCATTTTCTGGATCACACAAGTGTGGTAGATCCGGTTTAACAGGAAAAATCCACTCCAGCATTCCCATTTCCCTAAGCCTCCGAATCCCCTCATCAATAGTACAACACAAAATCTCAGGCATCTCTAACTCATTCATAGTGGGCCTTCCTTTGATCCGTACTTCTGCCACCCAGCAAAATGAAACTATTAACACCTTTTTTTACTTCACAAACTGTAACATCAAATTCAGAATCTCAGTTTAACTGGCCCACATCAACATTCTCAGCCTTATCCAGGTGTATGTTTTTTTGCCACCATTATCTCACACCTGTAAAATACATTCCCACACTTGCTTAACAGACCTGTGCTATAAGAGTTAGAAAACTCCAAAAGATGTTCTTTGGGAGAATAGCAGACCTCCTCATGGCTCACACTATGTACCTCACCCTTAGAGGCCTCCTGCAATTTGAGCCTGGTTATGGGCCTAGAGACAAAAGTGGGTGGTGAGTGTGGATCCTGAGGAGTGTCCACATGATCCTGCTTCATCAACACATGACTAAGTTCCTCAGGTATACTAGAAGTTTCTACCACTGTAGGTGGGGAAATCTCTTCCTCCGGCAAAATAATCTCATTAGCATCTAGGAGCTCAACATGCTCAGCCCATTAGGATCCTCCCAAACATCTCCTTCCCAGTTTACAGGACCTCATTCTTTTCTGATCAGTGTCCTCACCTTTACTTCAGATAGCTTTCAAGCTGGAGCATTAAATTTAAAGCTACATTTCAGTCAATTGAATTATGAGAGCCTCTGTTTGGGTTTCTGCAATCTCTGCCCTGCTGCTAAAGGAGAGGAGATTCTCTTTCAGGACACACTTAGAAACTTAAATTTTTTATGTGCATCTGGAGCTAGGAATTTGAAGGTTTAAGCTCCTTATTTTCCTGTATTCATCTGCCCTCACAATTAGAAGACTTTAGATTTCCTGTGTGTTTTGATCTCATTGTTTTCCTTCACTAGTTTGTCCTGAGAGACTCAGAGCAGCCAGCCAGCATCATTATATTTCCCACTCTGGCAAAAAATATTCAACAGGTTTCATATATGGAGTCGCTAAATTCCTTACATCTCACAAGTGCTGAGTTATGATAATCAAATGGGTGTACAGTGTGTATTACCATAAACAGTTCACACCAGGGACTAGCAGTATTCCCCACAGGAGAGACTATGCCATCTTTATGTCTCATCAAATTAGCTGACTCCAGGAACCGGTGAAGTCGTTGAAACATTTCACCTTTACAGTTCTGTTTCTCTAGAGCCACTCCTGGTACCACAGTCTGATTCAGTCAGGGCTTCCTGGAGAAACAAACTCAGTGCAAAATATACAAATTTATAATTTACAAGATTGGCTTACAGTGGCCACCTGCAGAGTCAGTGAAAGAAGTGAAAAATGGCTTTCTGTGTGCTGAAGATACAAAGGGTCCAGTCGAAGGCCTGGAGCTCACTGTAATGTCCCGTGTGAGCCCATATCAGGAGGCTGAAGGGTCTGTGATGGAAGGTTGGGGTGTCTGCGTCAGAAGGCTGAAGGGTCTATGCTGGAATCCAGGAGACAGCATCCAAGCTGAAGGTGAAGAATAGAGCTCCTCCAAAGAAACAGAAGTGAGCCTTCCTTCTTTGTTTCCCTTTTATACCATGTGGGGCTAAGTCTTCTGGTTGCTGCCCTTCACACCCAGCAAATCCCAGCAAATTTCAGTAAATCCCTTCAGCCACACCCAGAACAATGCTAATCCAATCTATTTGGGCATTTTTTTACTCAAGTTGACACAATCAGTCAACTATCACACCTGTGTTCTATAGTCTCTGAAAGTAACATTCAAGTACTACCATGCATGACCTTAGGTCTGCTACTGTCTGTAACAGAGTCAGTTTACCTCATGGGGGAAGACTTCTTCCAGGGGGCCTGGCAGACCTTCTTTCCTGATCCATGCATTTTGTGTCTATCTTACGGTTCTGTGCCTCGCCATTACCCCTTCTAACTATTCCCCATCAGTTCCCCAATCATTCAACATTTTGTGAAACCATTCAACTATTTCTTCTCTCTCTCTCTCTCTCTCTGTCTCCCTCCCTCTCCCTCTCCCTCTCCCTCTCTGTCTTTCTCTTTCTCTTTTTTTTTTTGAGATACAGTTTTACTATGTAACCCAGGCTGCCCTTGAATTCACTATGTAGCTCAGGCTATCCTTGATCTTATGGTGATTCTCCTGCCTCATCCCCTTGAGTGCTGCAATTACAGGCGTGCACCACCATGTCCAGCTTAACTGTCTATCCTGGAAAAATGAATCCTTCCTTGTTGACCAGCTCCTCATGTTTGAACCTCTGTGAATGCACGCCAGCTTTGGAGTTGTATGCCTGCCTCATATGAGACACTAATATGGTATATAAAATTCCTACACTAAATAGCCAAAGACTGAAGGGAGCCTCGTATTCAAAGTTCCATGCCATTGAGTTTAGTCTATCTAAGGGAACATTTACACATGCTGAGAAATTTATCCCAAATCGGAGTTGCCCTCCCAGGACTTTGTATCCAGATAAACAACCCCATCGTGTTCACAGTCTCTCCCAGATGATTTGGGCATAAGTTTGTCAGCCCTCCTGAGACTCGCAGTGTTGACTGGGGATTCTCAGCCATAGCATTACTGAGATTCAAGGTTGGATACTTTGTTTTCTCTATCATTCCATTAACAGCAGGTGTTTAACGTGATCTGTGGTCTCTGCTTACTAGATGTCAGTAGCATTTGTCTTCTATTTTTGCTAACTGTAAATGTCTGCAGATTTTGCCACATGTCCCTCTGGAGATGCAAAACTGCCTGAGTTGAGACCCACTGGTGTAGATGCACCATGATGAGCCACATTTCAGGCACCCACAGAAGTAAGCTCTGGGAACCAAGAGCAGCCCAGTGTACAGTGGAACCTTCTTCAGAGAGGCCAGCCCATAGTCTTTTCCCCTTGTAGAGCATATGCATTCTGGGAAGACTGACCTGGGAACACAAACTCCCACATTCAAATCTTGCCTTTGCACATTTGAAGCAAGGATATCCACCTCTGTGCTCTTCGGTTTCCTTATTTGAAAATGAGGAATAGTGTTTTTTCTATTATGGAACATGGCGGTAGTGAAAACAAAGTGAGACTTTATTTATTCATATCCATACATACACACGTACCCGTGGTTCAGATGTAAAATGCATACACATGGACTTAATCAGGTTCAAATATAGGTCTACTTAATTTGCTAGTAAAATTAAAAGGACAATATAGAAAACTTCTTTCCATCCATCACATAGTGTAATTCTCTCTGGTATTTTTCTGTGCTAGAAGGCTCAATAGGGAATGTCTAACTTTAAAAAAAAAAAAAAAAAGAGTGTCTTTCAGCAAGGAAAAGCAACTAAATTAGAGTGCAGAGAGCCAGGCTTTTATATTTGTTTCTTCATTTTGCATTCAGTAATCTGAGCAGACTGCACAAGAATTTAAATGTCTTGATGGGAGATAGTGGATTTTACTTCTCTTGGGATTTCTTTGTAAGGAGCCTGGTAAATAATTCAGGAACATATTAGAAGTCAGTAAATGGGCAGCACCTGGTGCTGTATTGTTCATGCCTAAACACATAGCCCAAAGATGGCATTCTGCACCTGTCACTATTGTGCTGGCTTAAATATGGACCCTATGCTCGGTGGCTATTGGAAGAACAGTAATTAATATTTTTCTCCAGTCCTCCACAACCAGAGAACACTGTTCTAAGCTATTTCAAAAGCACAAAGCAGCAGTGGCATCCTATTAAATTTCCTCGGTAAAATTTCAAATGTTTTCTCTGTCACAGGGTGATTTCTTGAAAGAATTAGGTGTATGTCCACTTTTTCTACTGGTACTAAATTGAATCCTTTTTACGTTCCTCTGCAAGGTTGAGCCTCCTTTTAGATCATGCTATTCATATTGCAAGCATCTACTTGAGAGAACACCGCCCTCAGCCATTCAGTCGGTAGAAAGGTCTGCAGCTTCCCAGTTCCTTTCTCTATTATTACCTGAGTGTCCTATCTCTCCTCTCTGAGTACAACAGTTTTAAAAAAGCAAGCATAATCTTTGGACCATCCCAGCTGACTGGACACAGAATGTTGTTCTGCAGGCTTAGAGGGCACAGAGGGGAAAGGCCAACAGATTGTGTATGGAGACAGGCAGGGCATTGAGTCCAGTGCTACCCAGGATCAAACAGAGCTTAAATCGGGAGCTGCATAGAAAGATCTTAGGAGGGCAGGGTGTTCCCCAAAGGGGAAACAGAAAGATATACCTTGTAAGTCACAAGTTTTTACAGTGCTTGGCCATGGAAAGGGTCTCAATAGCGAATGTAGAGATTTTTACTTAGAAATTGTTATATGTGCTTTTATCTTTGTTTTTAAGACAAAGATATAGCTCAGTGGTACAGCACCTACCTGACAAGTGCAAGGTCCTGAGTTTGATTCCTGGTACCAATGAAATAAAATATTCATTAAAACATTAAATTTATAATATATGTATATAACTACATATTAAATATAACTACATGAAATGGAAACAAAATATTTTAAACCTCTGTGTGTGTGTGAGTGTGAGAGAGACAGGCAGACAGTCAGAGACAGACAGACAGAGAGATTGCTTGTTAACTAGTGTAATAAGTCTATTTGTTTTCCTTCCATCAGGGCGCAGTGTAAGACTCCTTGGAGCAGTGACTGCCCTCTGGTGGTGAGCCAGAATTGTCGCGTTGTGTCTGTGTTGCCTAATGGTTGCTGAGATGCCCACCCTGGCTAACATGGTACAATGGGCAGCGGAGGACAGTTGAAGGATGTCTGAAGTTAAAAGTACATCTGATGAAGAAGCCTAATGACGTAACCCTTAGCTTCCACCTGAATTGGTTGTTTATCCCAGATTCTAAGCCAAGAGCCAGCTCCACAAGGGGCTCTCTGAAGGAAAGATTTGGGTCTGCATCCCTACCCATGGGTAACCAAGACTATGAATAAGTGCCCACCACAAAAGCATGTGGTGACATGGAGCCTGAAATAAACTGCTCTGAATTTTGTGACAGTTTTCCTGGCCAGGAGCTGGATCACAGACCCCTTCATGATCTCTGCAGGACCACAATTGTGAGTGGCCATGGGCTTTAGAACTGCTCAGGTGTATATGCTGGTGGGGGGGGGAGGAGGGGGAGGATGAAGAAGAGGAATTGCCCACGTAAGATACATATTTTCCAGCTTTGATGCTGACCTGTGGAAGATCCTCTATTCCTAACAGCTTCTCTTTATTCTGGCCTCAGACCTCCTCCCAGGACGGCAGCAGTAGCATCTCTTCATTATCCCCTGCCCTCTTGGGTATCGTTTGGACATTTCTCAGCTGTGGATTACTTCTGATGCTCTTCTTTCTCGCCTTCACAATTCGCTGCAGGAAGAACAGGTAAGCAGCCCCATGTCTCCTCTCCCATAGCCTGAAGTCTTAGCCTCATTTCGGTGCCACAAGCAGCGGGCCAGTATCAGCAAAGCTGGCCTCCCATTGCAGCATGGTCCCTGTGAAACACTGCTGGCCTTGTCATATGCTTCCTTGTGAACAAGAGAAAGATGTAGCCCAGTATTGTGCTAAATGTTCTAGGATGTCCAGGGACGAGAACGAAAAGTCTCTACCCATAAAGGAGAGTACAGTGCTTCTGAGAAGACGAGGTATCTATATGAAAAACAGACTATGTAGAAAACATGTTCAAAACAACACAAAAGTCTGCGGACGGCACAATTGGATCAGTCTGAGTGGGTTAAGTTTTCCACCAAAACCAGTGAAGCTTTACTGCCTGGCTGCTCTGCTGGACAGTTCTGGTGGGCAGGAGAGTCACTAGCTTCTCAGAGTAAGTGTTTGGGGTTCCTGTGGCAGGCAGAGGAGTACAGCGGCGACAGAGCCTTGCATACAGAGTCTTGTCTGCGGTGCTCTTTGATTCTCCGCTCGGGGCCTATCACATCTCTTCTACCCCAACGCTGTACCTTCATCCTGCCCTGTTTGCCTGCCTGCCTCCTGGGAAGCCACGCCCCAGCCCTCTCTCCCTGGCCCACAGCTGACTTCTAGTTGGAGCCCATTCTCAGAATTCGTCTACTCCCGCGGAGAGGCCAGACTCCACCTGGCCCACGCCAGCCTTCCACCTCCTGGTGATCAAGTGCGCTGGGCTCCATTGCTTGTGGATTGGGCATTCGGATAAGGATTGATGAGTTATATTTGTCCGGCGGGCATTTGGGGTGCTATTTGCGATTTTAGTCATTGAGAACAGGGAATTGTTAACCAGTGGTGACTAGTGTGGCTGGGTCAACCTCAATATAGCAGGGGCATGTGGCGCTTGACTTGCGCATATTTCCTAGGCTGCCCTAGCTCCTTATTATTCTATTCCTCAAGCAGACCAAGCTCACCTTCATCTCAAGGCCTTGGTGACTCCTGTCCCCTTCCTGTCCCATCTGCCTGGCAGTCTTCCCCAGATCTCACACATCCAGCTCTTTCTCACCTTGTAAGCCTCAGCTTCGGTGTTGTCTCTTCAGAAAAGTCTTCTCTGACCATCGTCTCTAAAGTGACCTCTCTGCTCTATGGGCACTCTGCCCCCTGTCTCCTTTCTTTCCACATTTCTCATTTTATTCTCTTCATAATGTAAAGTCTTTGAGAATGAGTGCCTGACTTGTGCTCACCCCTGGGCCTCCAGCACTTAGAACAGAATCTGAAACAAAATAGGTGCCCGATAAATAGGTATTCATTGATCCTAGGAGGAATTTAAATGCCAGTGGTGGCTACTGCCAAGAAAATAACTAGGGAGAAAGAGTCATATATTTTGAGGTGAGAGAAGTACAGAATGGACTTTGCAGCTGCAACACATTTCTATAATGGAAATTAATACTCTACTGGCAAATTAAAAAGGACGTCATTGCTTCACATGTAATAGTTCCTCAAGCAAGCCAGTAATTTAAAGTATTCAAGGGCAAGCTTTCTCACAGCTAAAAAATGAAACCTAGGGCCAAGAATACAGTGCTATTTCAGTGACTGCCTTTCGTGTACATAATGGCCCATTTAATTGCTTCCAGAATCACGTCTTCTGTGATTGTGAAGCTGCAGTAGATGAAGAGGCAGAGGAAACATTTTTCCATATGTTTTAAAACTTTAATTGATTTTTGAAGAAAGTGCATTTTCAAAGCATGCTTTTAATTTTGATGACAGTATTATCAGAGATCAATGCTGACCTACATCTTGCGATGAACGTTATAGAAATTACCTGTGACCCTGGATACAAATGGTAGTGGTCATTTGCTGAACTCTAACTAGCATTTTAATTGGGATAATTACTATTTCATTAGCACTCTTGTTACGAAGTTAAATATGTTTTGAGTGTTATGACTCATCATACATTTCTTCGAAACCATTATTTTTACACACAATTTTGTAGAATGCAGGTTTATCATTGATATATTGTTTTAAAATAAAAACAGCTATAAATAGCATTAAAGTAGAAACCTGCACATCATTCTGTTAAAGATTTTCTTGCATATTTTGTTTGCAGTGGCAACATGACTTGGCATAAAGAATAAAATAATAGAAATACTGACTAAAAATGCATTGGAACAAAGTAGCCTATAAGTTCATCCAAGAAAGATAAAATAACCCATTTTGAAAAGTTCTTTATTGAATAATAAAATTTGCTCAAATATGCAGCATCACAACCAGATATTTCAACTCTGTGGTCTCTAAAGCTTGTATGCATGCACATGTGCACATGTGAATATACACACACATGCCAGAGGAAGAAAAGTAGTTTAATAAAATAAAAATAGTACAATGATGTTTAAGTTCAGTTGCAGATACTGCATTTTTGATAAAAACTTTACAATGTAGTCTACATCAGAAAATCAGTAAAGATGCAGGAAATTCAAACACCACAGTCAACCAATTTGACCTTCTCCGGCAACAGCAGATCACACATTCTTTTCGGCTATCTATGAAACGTATAGCGAGATAGATGTTTTTCTGGGCCATCGAAAAAGTTTCACTAAATTTGAAGGGATTCTTCAAGGCTATCCTGGGCTACATAGAGAGTTCAAGGCCAGACAGAACCACATAGCAAGACTTTGTCTCAAAAAAAAAAAAAAAAATTAAAGTCATACAGTATATGTTCTCCTAACAAAATAGAATTAAATTAGAAATCAATAACAGAATGACCTGTGGAAAATCCTAAAATATTCAGAAACTAAACAGAACACTTTAATTCATGGTCAGAGAAATCAAAAGGGAACCTAGAATATATTTTGGCCTGAATGAAAATTAAAATGCCTCGAACTTGAGTACTTACAGGGGAAATTTATAACCTTAACCTCCATATTAGAAAAAAAGAGGTCAAATCAATGGACTTTCTTTCCATCATACAAAAAGGCAGAAAAAGAATACATGAGCCCTGAAGTAGAAGAAAAGAGATGATGAAGATCAATGGAAACTGATGAAATAGCAAGCAAAAACAGAATGGAGAAAAAAAATCAGTGAAACCAAAAGCTGACCCTTTATGATAATCAATAGCATTGACCGACCTCTAGGCAAAGAAGCTACAGTTACCCAAATAGAGACTTGGGGAGGTGACATCACTATAGATTCTACAAATGTTAGCAGGCTAGTAAGGTAGGCAGCCTGTGAAATGTTCTCCAGTGATTCCCAGCTCTAGGTAGTCTCCCTCTTGTGAAGCCTCCTTGAATCTAGGGCAGACCTACTGACTGACTCATTGATTGAGATGTCACTTCTGGTATTAGGTCACAGAAAGATTGTATTTCCACCTTGGACACCTCTTCCCCTGGCTCACTGTGTACTGCCATGTTGTGTGCTGCCTGGTGGAGAGGGCTGTACAACAAGGCACTGATGTTTGCAGCCTGCAGCCTGCAAGTTCACCAAATTTACCAACTAAAAGAACTATGTGATCAATATCAGTGGAAAGAGAATTTGACAAATTTCAATATCAGCTCTGATAGAATCGCAACAAGGAATAGAACAGACATTCCTTAACAAAAACCAAACTGTACAGGAAGGACTTCAAAGAATCAACAACTGGGATCTCATCTTATTAAAAAGCTTTTAATGAGCACATCAAAAGAAACCACCAACAGAGTGAAAGGACAACCCACAGAGTGGGAAGAAATTTTAGCCAGCTGTGCCTCAGACAAAGGAATTCTATCTAGAACATATAAAGAATTGAAAAAAATCAGGCCTCCAAAATTTAAAGACCCAATCCAAAAACACATACTTTTCAGATGAAAAGTACAAATGGCAAATAAATATATGAAAAAATGTTCAATATCATTGGTCATTTGAGAGATGCAAATTAAAACAACACTGAGATTCTGTCTCATCCCAGAAAGAATGGCTATCGTTAAGAAATCAACCAATACCAAATGCTAGTGGGACTTTAGGGAAAAAGGAACCCTTCTCCGATGTTGGTAGGAGTATAGACTGGTACAGTCACTATGGAAATCAGTTTATAGATGCCTCAGAAAACTAGGATTGCAGGTCCTATCTGACCCAGCTATTCCACTTCTGGGTATCTTCCTAGAAGAATTAAAAGCATCATATGGCAGCAATATATGTGCACTCATGTTTATAGCAGTGCAATTTATAATATCTAAATCTTGGGAACAACCCAGATGCCCAGATGCCCATCAACAGAGGAATGGATAAAAAAGATGTGGTCTTTTTATACAACAGCGTACTACTCAACTGTAAAGAATGATAAACCCGAGACTTTTATAAGTAAATGGATGCAATTTGAGATCATACTCAAAAGTGAAATTAATCAGACTTGCATGTGTAGACATTATACTGTCTCCCTAGTATAAGAAACTGAAAGAG